GATATCTAATATAGATGAATCGCTTGTGAGTTGACCTCTGTGGGAAAAGAGCTCTGGTGCTTCTGTTTCAGGGAGTAGAAGTTAGCATGAGGAGAGGGAGCAAAAGACGGCAGAATTTGGAGTTTTATTTCTTTATTTGGACATCTCGCCTATGACTGGCTCTGTTTTCCACCTATTTTTATGCTGAAATGTCACTAATAACATCAGTAGATGCACAAAATTTCAGAAGCTGAATCAGATTATGAACACTGAATTTAACCAGCTGTAAAATGTTAAATGGTGCACTGCTCAGTGTTCAAATCTGACATCAAACAAATCTGTAATCTGACCACGCAAAAAATATTCTAAACTGGTAAACACAAAGAAATTTTAGCTGGAAATCATTTTTAGAGCATTATTTAAAGCAGTGTTTCCTTATAGGCTTAGCATGGTGCTGCAAATTGTAGCGCCACGACTCCTCCTTCTGGCTAAGCTCTTTTCACCACGAAGGACCGGTACAACACCCGCACTACTGCAGATACAGCACCAATCCGCCTATTGATCACACACTCCAGCTTTCCCTCACTCGTGAACGAGACCTCGAGATACTTAACTCCTCCACTAGGGGCAGGACCTCGTCCTTGACCCAGAAAAGGTATTCTATCCTTTTCCGATTCAGGACCATGGTGTCGGATTTAGAAGAGCTGGAGATCATGTTCTGATGAAGCCAACAGGACCACATCATCTGCAGAAAGCAGAGACCTGATCCTCAGGCCACCAAAATAGATCCCATCCAAACCTTGGCTGCGCCTAGAAATCCTGTCCATAAAGGTTATGAACAAATTCAGTGACAGAGGGCAGCCTTGGTGGAGTCCAACTCTCACTGGGCATGAGTCTGACGTACTGCTGGAAATGCGGACCAAGTTCTCCAGTTATACAGGGATCTAACAGCCCTTATCAGAGGGAGTACCCCCCACAGGACCTCCCACAGGATCTCCCAAGGGATGCGGTCAAACCATATACACTGGACAATTCATGTCCATAGGCTCGAAGTTTTTGTGGTAGAATGGTGGCACAGGAGTTAAGTGCTCGCCCCGTAACCGGAAGGTTGCAGATTCGAGCCTTGTCAGTCTGTCGCTGTCATTGTGTTCTTGGGCAAGACACTTAACCCACGTTGCCTGCTGGTGGTGGTCGGAGGGACCGGTGGCGCCAGTGCTCGGCAGCCTCTCCTCTGTCAGTGCGCCCCAGGGCAGCTGTGGCTACATCGTAGCTCATCACCATCAGTGTGTGAATGGGTGAATGACGGACTGTGTTGTAAAGCGCCTTGGGGGGTTCCAGGACTCTAGAAGGCGCTATGTCAAATACAGGACATTTAAATTCACCTCCATTTTGACCATGTCACAGGTCCCGTCATGCCCAGACAATCCAAAAATGGGAAAAGAGGCAGAGCTAAGGGTAGGGCTGTCACGTTAGGAACAGGGTTGGGACAAATTAACCAGTGTAGCTACGAGCTAACTTGGTTAACCCACAAAGCTAAGAAGGGCCCCTTGGACTGGGTTATACCACCCACATGGCCGACCGACTCCCGTGTGAGGCTGTGGTCATGCTGGTCACCTGTGGAGATCTAATATGGATTGGGACTGTTAAAATGCAAGCGGAGCCTCAGACCGCCGTGATCGTAGCCGGGCACCATGGCCTTCTACAACAGCTCTTGCTCCACGGTCAGAAATAAGCGGGACACTAGCTACATACTAACAGATGTTTTCCAGCTGTTTTCAGCAAGAAAAACATGGTAGATATGGTATGGTATGGGTCATAAACTATGAGCTATAAGTATATTGGTCTTTTTATACTAGGAATCAGGAGTTATTTTAGTGTTCATCTTGTTTCTTATTTATTTTTGTCCTGATTTTGCCCTGAACAATTTTATGACAGAATTAAAACAAATAAAATCAACATAAATTGAAAAATCGTCTTAAATAATCGAGATCTCAATTTCAGTCACAATAATTGTGATAATTATTTTTGCCATAATCGAGCGGCCCCAACTGACCAATATCCTTGATTTAATGTATTTGTTAAGAACATCAAGATGCATTACAGTGAACATTATAATAAAGTACATTTTTCTAGTGCAGAGAGGAGACAACCCATAGAAGCACTGATCTGATCTCATTTCAGGGAAAAATAGAACAGGTCAGATGCACCCAATAAATAAAATTACTAACATAAACTCAGGAATCTGTTTCTGTGCTTCATTGTCCTGGTGCTGAAAATATCACTAATGCAGATCAAAGGAGATACATAGATGAATGCACCTCTTATTTATTATTTGGAAATTAGTGGGTGTGGATTACATCAATATATTATTTTAAATCTGAAATTGATATGGAATGATCAGAAGTTGATATGTGTGTTGTTTTTTTTTGAAAACTATTTACAGAGCAGCCTCAGAATTGAGATTAAATATTTTTGATCACAATAGTAAAGGAACTATTACAGAACTAGTGTTTCAGTAAAATCAGAACCATTTAAGTGCATGAATTAATGCATCTGAACTCATGCAGTAGGAACTAGGAAATATGAAATACTAGAACCTAACGTTGCTGGCATTTTTTCCACACACAGTTAAACAAAGCAATGTTGAATAAGGTGTGTGTGTGCGTGTGTGTGAGAGAGAGAGAGAGAGAGAGAGAGAGAGAGAGAGAGAGAGAGAGAGAGAGTTAAAATAATTTTTAAAAACCCGACCGGAGGCAGTGATCGACGCATGCACACGCCGTTTTCAGCTCTGTCTTGTCAAATGCAACACGTACTTTACGAAAAAAGTTACTTTAAATATTCAACCGAAAAAGAGGCAACCTGAAGAAAACATAGGGAGCACTGAAGAAACGTGAGCAACAGTGAAGCAAGCACAGAGAGATCCGTTACTGTGTGTGTGTGTGTGTGTGTGTGTGTGTGTGTGTGTGTGTGTGTGTGTGTGTGTGTGTGTGTGTGCGTGGATGCATGGACTGGACTGAGCTCCCGGCTGCAGAGTTTTGTGTGGAGGGAGGGGCGGGCGCTCTATGTGACTGGCCAATCACAGAGCGTGAAGACAGTCAGATATTTACGAGTTTTACTCGTTTCATGCTCGTATTCGTCAAAAATGCTTTATCTGTACTGGATACTCGTCTGAAACGAGTATCCGGCTCATCCCTAGTTGTAACCACCCTGCCCTGCCTCCTCCTCGTTGCCGCCTGCCGGCTGTGATCACAAATAACAGCATAGTTCCCGCTGCTTCTTCGGGAAATGGCGCAAATAAATAAATAAATAAAACTTGGGATCTGGTAGGCGTGGAGCTGAGATTTCAGCCGTGGCGGGCCATGTAAGGGAAACACTGTAATTCAATAAGCATATATATCTATCAATAGACATGTGATGCACTTAGGGCTACCGCAAATGATAATTTTAATTGTGAAGTTAAAGGGTTGGACTGGGTCGTTAAACCACCAAATGGTTCCCGAGCACGCCTGTCTGCAGCTCACTGCTCCCAAAGGGGATGGGTCAAATGCGGAGAGCAAATTTCACACACCAGTGTGTGACAACTAGTGGGACTTTAACTTTAATCATCAGTTTTTGGGGTGATTACTAATCATAAAAAAGTATAGCTTATTGCAACAGGATGCTCTAATACACCCATCATTAGCTTCTCGTTTGAAGTGTGATCAGTTATGTGCCATCTAATAATAAAGACAAGATGGTAGCTTATCAAACAACAGGGGTCTCATGTCTGTCACCAACAAGTTCAAAATTGCCTCGGTCAGGACGTTTGCTTGCTGAGGTGTGTATGCTGTTGGCTTTGTAAGAAACTCGTCCATTGAAGAGCAGGGCCTTTCTTTAACAGTGAAGCAGCGGGATACAATAAATCATTAGCGTTTGTAATGTTAGAGCAAATACGTGACATACATCACTACTGTTGTTGCTACAGCTATAAATACAAGTAACTTACAAGTAACTCCCTGATGTTGTTGGCAGCTAACGAGGAATGATTAGCTTACAGAGGCGAATTTCGTTCTAACCCTGACCAACGACGTGTTTCCTTTTAAGGTTCATTCATCACTGTTGTGCTTCTGTGAAAGGAGAGTTCTCCAAAAATGAAAATCTGGTGCAAAATGTAATTGATGTCAGTAATCCAGCTCAGACTGAGAGACCATCTACAGGTTCAGGAACACTTTGCAGGATTCATTTGCTGATCAGAGTCTAGAATATTGAACCTTTTCACAATAGTTGTCTGAGATTCTGAATGTGGGGTTTTCATCAGCTGTAAACCATAATCATCACATTTATAACAAATAAAGTCTGAAACATCAGAATTTGCATGGAATAAGTCTGTCTCGTAGATTAGTTTCACCTTTTAGGTTGAATTACTGACATAAATGAACTTTTGCACCAGATAATAAAAACTCTTACATTTTTGTCAGTTCTCTGAGCACAGATCAATGGGAACAAACCAGCATTTCCGAGGTGATCTGAAACCGGTTCATGTTTTATTTGCTGTCCGTTATTAGATTACATTTTGATGGCCCACTACTGAAGACTGACAAAAGCGAGTAGTTCTAGAGCCTTGGTGTGTTTCCCCTGCTTGTCTACAACTGTCACTCCATGGTAAGGCAACGGTATAACAAATAGAAAACTCACTTATTATTTTACCTTCTTATAGTAAAAAGCTGAAAACATCTCATGAAAAAGTTTCAGAAACAACTTTGACATTCCCATCATAACACAAGTCATCATCAAAGTTAGAAAAGTTATTTTAGTAACGAGTTAAAAAGTCTCGCAGTTTCAGCTTTAAATGTGGGACATTTTAATAGATTGAAGTTTATATTTGTTTATTGTTTTTACAGAGAAAAAAAACCTCATAGTGGTAACATAACGGGTTTGTGGTAGTCATTCCATCACTCCTGTCTCCTCAAGCCGCCCACTCACCGCTGATGCTACCTATTTTACCTAAACACCAGGCTAGGCGTTTAAATGTGGGGCTGTACCTGGACATAGTTGCTTTCGCAATATTCCGCGACTCGGTCCAGGTTGGTGAAACTGTCCAGTAACGCTCTCCGTCCAGCTGGAATTTCCTCCTCCAGTAGCATCTGTAACTCCGCCATCTTTACATGGTTTACTACTGACCTACTGACGGGCGGCCGCGGCAGCGCGAGAGGATAGGGCTCGCGCCGACTGCTGCGTTCACGGACGGTAGGAAATACCACCTCCAAAGGATGTGGGAATCTCAGAACTCTAGTTCCTGTCTTTCTTTTTTCATAATAATAATAATAATAATAACAACAATTGTTATTATCATTAGGACAATATCTAATAATATGCTTAAATTCCATGTTTTTAAATGTCCTAACTAATGTGTCATGGGGTCAAAAAACATTCAATGAGCTTGGTTTTAAAACTTAGTTTTAATTTTGAAACAGAATATTCTAACTCAAAACAAGACAGCCGCTGTTGTAAAATTTACACAGTTCTTTATTCATTTACAAATGTACACTCAGCAAACAAGTGGTAAATATTTACTTGTAAAATAAAACTTGCTTAAAACAAGAGTCTGCGTTAGGGACAAGGGGACTGAGTTTAGGCTGGGAGGTCCAGGTTTTCATCTGCTCTTGGGTATCCTTCCACCTCCATAGTCATCAGGAACTCTGCACACACACACACACACACACACACACACACACACACACACACACACACACACACACACACACACACACACACACACACACACACACACACACACACACACAAATGTCCACCTCATTAATATGAAAAACCCAATTTTTCTTTTTATTGTTCTGTACTGAAGGAACATAAACATGCTCTTAGTGCCACCTAGTGGCTGTGGAAAACACTATCAAAGATGGGTAAGTAAAATACATTTTACACTCTTTTTAAATTGTTCACACACATTGTGTGCATCTGCTTTATGAAAACCTCAATGCCTCCAAAGAGAAATAATGTAAAGACAATGGAAATTTCTTTCTGTAAAGTTTTTGTAGAAAATCATTACAGTTTACTATGCAGATTAAACGCCTGACTTGTCATTGTTTTCAGTAATCTCAGTATGAATGCCTACTGGTAATTTTGTATTTTGACACTTGTGAGAATGTGAAACAGTGAGGTATGAAATAGGGAACAAATGATTAAAGTTTTAAAGGTTTTGTATAATCCCTAATATGATCAAAATCAGGATATCAAAGCATTTTAAAGGAATGATTAGCTCGTGTGGTGAAAGTAACATTAACCCATTTACATAGCAATTGTTATTTTTTACTACCTTCTGTGTAGTCAATGTCTGGCCGCGTGGACACGACGGCCCAGGCCACGCTCACTAACAGGGCCACCACCAGGTTGACCACGATCCATGGACGAAGGATTTGGTGCTCTGACCCTGGAGGCCTAGAAGAAGTGAGGACACAATGAGTCTGTGCCCTAAGAACAACCAGTTTTACTAGAAAAACCTACAAATAGTGGATACATATCCAGGTTTTTCTGTGTGTTGTCATGGTGACACAAGGTCACGTGGGTAAAAACTAAGGCAATCAGAGTTCTCACCACAGAGTGGCATTGGCGGTGGGATAGAGGTTAATCCGGTCACTGGTCATCTGCTGGCTGAGGGACAGTATGAGGGCTATAAAATACACTGAACACACACGAATGATGTCATCATCATGCCCTTTATCATCATCCTCATCATCATCATCATGCTTTTATCATCATCACTTACAGAATGAAGCCACAGCAACAGGGTCCAGGGTGAGGAAGCCTCTCAGGGCCATAGAGGTCTTTGCCAGGTTTACTCTGCAGGCAGCACCAATGGAAACCTCACGTCACTGCAAGCTCAATAACTAATATTCCAGCTTTAAACTAGGAAAGCTTAACATTTCAGTAATACTGAAAACTAATTCCGGCTGCGCAGTGGCGCAGTGGTTAGAGTTGTTGCCTTGTAGCAAGAAGGTCCTGGGTTCGATTCCCAGCCTGGGATCTTTCTGCATGGAGTTTGCATGTTCTCCCTGTGCATGTGTGGGTTCTCTCCGGGTTCTCCGGCTTCCTCCCACAGTCCAAAAACATGACTGTTAGGTTAATTGGTCTGTCCAAATTGTCCTTGGGTGTGAGTGTGTGTGTGTGTGTGTGCATGATTGTTTGTCCTGTGTGTCTCTGTGTTGCCCTGCGATGGACTGGCTCTCTGTCCAGGGTGTACCCCGCCTACTTGCCCGTTGACTGCTGGAGATGGGCACCAGCCCCCCCGCGACCCAACGTGGACAAAGCGGGTTCAGGAGATGGATGGATGGATGAAACTAATTCCATGCTGTCGTTCTATTTTTAAAACACAGAGCAGTTTTGCTACCTGTTTTCCCGCTACGTTTCGTTTGCGGCTGCAAACTTACTCAGGCTGACGCTGATGGTGTCACTTCCTTCTCCGTTTATCCACGGGCAGCAGAGGACGTTGTCCACTCTCCCCTCTCCGACGATGCAGTCCCATGC